AGATGCCAAACAATTCATTTTATAAAATAAAATACAATAAATTAATATATTTATTGTTGTCTGATTAAACTATTCTTTTATATATATGAGCAATGTTAGGTGGCCCGAAAAGGAGGTTGGCTCAAATGGCTCGAATTTTATCTTGCCGATCGTCCGGCGAGGAAGCTGACAGCCGCAGTCGACAAAGGTGACAACCGCGGTAGAAAAGCTTTCATCCAGTCGTCTAGGCGGACAACCGGCCAACACCCATTTGGGCTATTTGAGCCGCTCCTTTTCAGGCCACCAAGTATTTTTGTATATATACATATATTTTTTAAACTTATAAAGAAAGTATTCAAATCATTCTGATGAGACCACAAAACTGTCTTCACAGTTACGAAAGAAATTGAGCATGGAGAAAAACGGGCACCCTAAAGTCAACACACCAAATTTTGTGTGTTTGGAACCGTGAGTTTAATTAAAAAAATTTAAAAACTTATAATTAAATATACAATTCAAAAGTTAATTTAAAAATTATTTTTAAAATTCATAATTAAACACACAATGTAAAATTCAATTCAAAATTATTTTCAAAACTCTTTTTAAAATTCTATTTATAAAAAAAAAATCTTTTTTTCTAAATTTTGTTCTTTAAAATTATTTTTTATTTTATATTTTTTTGAACAAATATTTTGTTTATTTTTATTTTTGAAGACAAATATTTTTTATTTTTTATTTTTTATTTTTTCAAAAAAAATATTTTTTTATTAGCCAAATAATTTGTTATGATTTATAAAAAATTAAATGCCTCTTAAAATGTATATGGGAAGTTCAAAAAAAATTTAAATTTAAAAATATATATATATTTTTAAAAAAAGTAAAAATATTTAAAAAATTAAAATAGTTAAAAAATAAAAATTATATATTTAAAATAAAAATAAAATTTTCTTAAACATTTTTAAATATTTAAAAAAAACAAATCTAAAAAATTTCAAAATACAACTCAAAACTTAAAATACAATTAAATTTTTTTTTTTAAAACTCAAAATTCTTTTCAAAATTCATAATCAAACAAATTTTTTCTTTTTAAAACTCAAAATATAATTTAAAATTCAAAACATAACTATATAATCAAATTATGATTCTAAAATTAAATCAAACGAAACCGAGCTCTAATTCCCGAATTCTCTATAAATGAGGGTTCTATAAGTATAATCATGTGTTTTTGCCGACAAGAGATGAGAGGTTACAGTCAAATCAAAATTCATTCTGGAGCACTAAAAAAGGTAGTGAAATCAAAAAATATATATATATATATATTAGATTCAGTTTATAGATGTGTTAAGAAAATTATTAATTGATATTTAGAAAATGGGAGCTTTTTTGATAAATCTACTTTCTAAGAGTTTTATTCCATCCAACCCATATTCTTTTTTACTATTCCATTAGGTTCTATTTGAGATAAGAAAACCAAAATATCCTTTTCATCTACTTATGTTCCATTTAGTTCACATTATTTTCTTATGTTTCAATAAGTCCTATGGGTGACATAATTACCAAAATACCCCTAATGTGAATGTTCACACCGTCAATGTGAATGTTCATATCGTCAATGTGTAGGGGCCCGGCCCATGATGATCCTCATAGGTACCCAGAAAAATTCGAGTCGGGCCGGGGCGGGCCCGGTCCATAGACAATTTGAATATTCACATTGACATGTTAACATTCCCATTAATAGAAGTGTAAAATTGGCCCGCGTCCCGTGGCGGCACGAAACCTGCCCGCGGCCCATGGGCGGCCCGGGGCAGGCCTGGTCCAGCCCGTTGACAATGTGAATGTTCACATTGACATGTTAACATTCACATTAATAGGAGTGTAAAATTGGCCCGCGTCCCGCGGCGGCGCGAAGCCAATTTTATACTCTTATCAATGTGCCCGGCCCGTTGACAATGTGAATATTCACATTGACATGTTAACATTCACATTGATAGGAGTGTAAAATTAGCCCACGCCTTGTGGCTGCCCCAAACCTGCCCACGGCCCGTGGGCGGCCCGGGGCGGGCCTGGCCCGACCTGTTGACAATGTGAATATTCACATTGGCATGTTAACATTCACATTGATAAGAGTATAAAATTGGCCAGCGACCCAGGGCGGGCCTAGCCCGGCCCGTTGACAATGTGAATATTCACATTGACATGTTAACATTCAAATTGATAGAAGTGTAAAATTAGCCCGTGTCTCGTGGCTAACCGAAACCCGCCCACGGCCCGGGGCGGGCTTGGCCATTTTTTTTTAATTCTTTTTAATTTTTTCTACCAAAATTTTATTATTTTCCACAAAAAAAGACACTAGGCCTCGGCGCGGGCCGGGCCTCGGACCGAGCCTTGAATGGGCCTTAACCGGGCCGATGGGCCAGGCCAGGCTGGGCTTCAAAGTGATGGCCCAAGCCCTAGCCTAGGGTCTCGGACTAGGCTCGAGCCTGGGCCCAAACGAGCCTTTCTCGGGCCAGGTCAGGCCGGCCCACGGGCCAAAAAATTAGGCCCAGGCCTTAGCCCTGGCACAAGGGTATTTGGGCTTTGGACGGGCTGATGGATTGTACCTCGGGTCAGGCCGATGGGCCTGGGCCTAGCCTCGAGCTTAGGTCGGGCTTGGGCGGGCCTGGCCATTTTTTTTTAATTCTTTTTAATTTTTTCTATCAAAATTTTATTATTTTTCACAAAAAAATACATTGCGTCTTAGGCGGGCTGGGCCTCGAACCAAGCCTTGAATGGGCCTTAAGCGGGCCGATGGGCTGGGCCGGGCTTCAAAGTGATGACTCTGGCCCTAACCTAGGGGCTCGAACATGTTCGGGCCCAGACCGAAACGAGCCTGACCCGGGCCGTGGGCGGGCTTCAGGCAGCCCACGGGCTGCGGGCCAATTCTACATTCCTATCAATGTGCATTTTAACATGTCAATGTGAATATTTACATTGTCAATGGGCCGGGCCTACCCCAAGCCGCGAGCAAGCTTCAGGCAGCTAGCAAATTTTACACTCCTATCAATGTTAATGCTAACATGTCAATGTGAATATTCACATTGTCACGGGTCGGGCCAAGCCCGCCTCGAGCTGCGGTCGGGCTTCAAGCCGCCCACGGGCTGCGGGCCAATTTTACACTCTTATCAATGTGAATGTTAACATGTCAATGTGAATATTCACATTGTCAACGGGCCGGGTCAGGCCCGCCCTGGGCCGCTAGCCAATTTTATACTCTTATCAATGTGAATGTTAACATGTCAATGTGAATATTCACATTGTCAACAGGCCAGGCCGGGCCGCCCATGGGCCGTGGGCGGGTTTCGGGCAGCCACGAGGCGAGGGCTAATTTTAGACTCTTATCAATGTGAATGTTAACATGTCAATGTGAATATTCACATTATTAACGGACCGGGCCGAGCCCGCCCCGGGCGGCGGGCAGGCTTTTGGCTGCCCATGGGCCGCGGGCCAATTTTATACTCTTATCAATGTGAGTGTTAATATGTCAATGTGAATATTCACATTGTCAACGGGTTGGACCGGGCCCGCCCTGGGCCGCCCATGGGCCGCGGGCGGGTTTCGCGCTGCCACGAGACGCGGGCCAATTTTACACTTCTATTAATGTGAATGTTAACATGTCAATGTGAATATTCACATTGTCAACGGGCCGGGCCCGTCCCGGCTCGCAGGCGGGTTTCGGGCCGCCCACGAGCCAATTTTACATTCCTACCAATGTGAATTTCAAAATATGAATGTTCACATCATAAAATTGCTAACCGTTCAAAAAATATTTATAAGGGTATCAAAATTAAATATAAAGGCATAAGTGTCCAAGAAAATAGTGTAAATCAAGAAAAATGACTTTATGGAATAAAACTATACATACATGGGACTAAATGGGTTAAAAAATTCCTTCATGGACTCCTTGGGTTAAAACACTTCTAAATGGGATTTATCAATAAAAATCCCTTAGAGGATATTTAATTATCAACCAATTATATTTTTGACATATCACTAAGTTTATAAAGTAAATTTAATTTTTGAACCTGAATAACAATGTTAATTAAAATAATATACTCTCTTCATCCCAAAATAATAGTCTAAAAAAATCTAACTTTTTTGATACTATAATTATTGCACTTTAAAAATATTAATTTTTCAAAATTACACTTTGATAGTATATTTTTTTAAGAATATTAATTGTCATAATTGTACTTTTTATATTGTTAATGAATTTAAAAGAACATCAAAATAGGAAATTCATATTATTTTAGTTCTTGATTTTTGAAAAGGAACTAATATTTTAGAATAATAAAAAATAAAATAAGTAACTAATATTTTGGGACGAAAAGAGTATTAATCTTTGAATTTATGCTTTTAGATGAACCTAAAAGATCATATTTAAGACACAATTCCCAATTATTAAAACAATCATTCACTACTATTACAATACAAAAATGCTTGGGACCCCATGACTCCCAAAATGATGTGAACCAATCATGTATTTTTGTTTTTTTTTTTATATTTTTTTTTCTTACTAAACCAATCACAAGTAAGTGGAGATTGTGAAATTGTGTTTTTTTGGGATCTGTAACATTACTGATTATAATATTCAAAGACAAATGTTAAAAAATGTTCTTGTTTAATATTATGATGGTGACACTTTGTTAAACATAATTAATGAGATATATACAACATTAGTAAAATATCACTCTTAAAATTTCAGTTCAAATATGAATTAAAACAAAAACAAAAAGAAAGTTTCATAGCAAAATTCTCTTTTATCCTATGCATGGTCATGCCAAAGTTTCACTACACAACCTTCCACTTGCTATCATGGACTCAAAAATTGAACAAGAGTCAGCAAATACAAAAATCAAAAGACCTCAATGCCAACTTCATAAAAGGAATATACAATCTCATGTCACAAGATTTGTACAAAGATTACCAATGCCTTAGTAAATTTTGCCTATCCCTTCCAGAGAGAAGGCGAAACTCCTGGAGGCTGTATAGCTGGTTCATGCATGTACATGGTGTACTAAATAGAAATTGAGCATGGTAAACACAAAAAGAAAAATACAAGCCATATAAAGATAGGATAAGAGAAAAAAAACAAAAAACTACACAAGAATAAGGCGAGGTAATGGAAATTCTCTCTCCCACCCGCATAATGTGATTGCTCACTTATCAGAGGCTGTCCAGTTAGAAGAAACTTGTTCAAGATCATCAAAAATTTGTTCAAGATCATCAAATTCTATCATGCTCAACTTCATAATGGTCATGATGATTGGGACAGCAAGTGGAGCTTATAGGGGGCATGTTGCGGATGTTGATGTCAAGGGGAAGCAAGCGGTATTCCATATCAAGTTCTTTGAAAATTTTAATCATCTCTTCTATCACGAAGGATCTTGTAGGAACCCACATTTTATGTCCTCATCATGTTCGTGAGCATCGGTATGATTATGACTTGTTAAGCTTGCATGTGTATGTTTGTGACTTGTTTCGTTTGAGCGGATGTGATCCATGCCTTGTTTTGAAGCCTTGTGATTTGTCTAAGTGTGGTGTACTTGTCTCGTTCTTTCCTTGATGTGAAACTTAGGTTACACCTTGCCTGAGTTATGCTAGCCGATGTTATTCCAAGGCGAGGTCATCCTCAGTCTAGAAGTATCTTGGAACCCCTTGTCGACCTCCGTCCTTGCCTTGACCACATTAGCCGAGATGTTACCTTGCACCCAAGTGATCTCGTCCTGGAGTGGTATGACCTAGGCCGAGGTGTGGCGCATCTAGGCCAAGATGTGGCACAGCTTAGTCAAGTGTTGTCCTTCCTAGCCGAGGTCATTGTCACCTTAGTATGCCTCGTATCACAAGAGTCTGAAATACTTGTTCACCCAGAAAGAGTTAAATATGAGGCAGAGAAGATGGCTCGAGCTGCTGAAGGATTATGACATGCAGATTCAGTACCACCCAGGTAAGGCAAATTCCGTAGCCGACGCATTAA